CAGTTAGCGATCTATTCTTATATAAAGCCCCGGAATCTCCTTCGAGTCAGATCTACACAATTAGACCATACCTTCAATCTGACGAGTCGTATGTATACGATGTCTGTCGGAAGACATATGCTTTGGAAAGAGAAAACATCACTTTCGAGGAATCAGATTTTGTTGGCGATAAGTGAGTCATTTGACACTAATATCACAACAATTGTCTCATTTATTTCTTTTGTTTAGACTTATCGGCGGTTTCTTGACTTTGAGTCCAGAGTATTGTTTTATAGTGGAAGACGAGATGGGAATCTGTGGCTATGCTTTGGCCGCTTTAGACGCTCAACAGTTTAATAAAAAGCTAGAGATCTCGTGGACTCCAGAGCTGAACCGTAAATATCCGGCGCCGACAGAGAAGTTAAGCGCCGGACAGAAGTTATCGCCAGTCGAAGAGTTAATTAATGACATGCACTCGAATAATGTGGTGAATAACGCAATACCAGAAATGATTTGTAAGAACCATCCATCGGTGGTTAAAATGTCTGTTTTGCCGCATATTATGGACTTAAGTGTTCCCAAACGGATACTCGCCTGCATTATAGCCGCCCTTAAAGCTAACGGTTGTTCTTTATATTCATTAAAATCAATATATTTATTGAAATTGTGATTTCAATTTAGGTTCTGTTGGAGTGTTTTCTGAGATCCCGGCGTCTGATAAGAAATTATTCGACTTTTATTCCAAACTCGGATTCTTACACATCCAGGTGTCCAACGAATTGCCTAACGATTGCTCCATATTTATGGGTCGAGTCATTTGATTCAAACTATTATTTTAAAGTCAAATGTATTTTATAAATCAGATTTTGTTAGTCTTTTTTGTTGTTGAAGTATTTTATAATTTGCATTAAATTAACTTTTGTGATCATTCAACGGTAAAACTTTTTTAAAATAAAAAATATTTTGTTTCCAAAATTAGTTTTCTATATTTTTAATGTAATTTTTAGACAAGTCTTCAAATTATGTTACAAAGGAGTTAATTCTCATGTAATCATGAGTTTAATAAATCACTCAATATTTATCAAATAAGTTGCATTAAATTGTTACAATTGGATCAACTGTTTGTAAATACGATTGAGCATAACCTCAGCCAATAAACAATGATATTCTATCAGAATCACAATCAATGAGTGAATATATTTCCAAATTATTTATTTTAATTGTAATTTTGTTGAGATTTGTTGACAAATGTTATAATACTGTTATACATTAGAATCTAAAAGTGAAATACTTAAATAACAGCTTACAAATTGTTAGACTTAAAATTAAGTTGTAGTGAACATGCATTTAAACCACAGTGTAAAGTTTACATTGTAAAGTATCATACATACAGTATAGAATAGTGTAAATCTAGATTCTAGACTAAACTTTTCCAATCAAGTAATGCACAAACATTTCAAATGTTAATAAAGTTAAGGAAAATTTTTAAATCCTTGAACTAAGCGTTGATTTTAATTTGATAATATTTTAGAGACAAATAAACATATTTTTGATAAATACTTATTGATAGTAATGAGTGGTATATTATCTGACAATTAATATAAGTCTCTAAACCACTGGTATATTAATAGACGTCGAAGTCTAGGACCTAATAATAGGCAATATTTGTGTAGATTTGAGAGAAGTTGTGAGAAGTTGTGAGAGTTGTGGCGACAGAACTGAGTTTGAGCTGAGGAACAGACGGAACAGCGCATCACTACTGCTATCACTACTCATAGACTCTATCATTGATTCAAACTTTGAATTCAATTTAAATTCAATTTTATTTGTAATCATAAATTGAAGGCAATTGTGAAGTATGTCTCGATTTGATTGTGTAGAGAGTGGACCTCCGATCGAGATCTTTGCTCTGAGCAAAGCCTACAAAGAGGACA